AATGTCAACCAATAGATTGCACGAATTCGACGTGGGACTCGAGACAGACACCATTGAAGAAGTGTCGACCGATTGATTGAAGGAAGAGAGATTTTGTCGCACGTTGAGAGAACAGATGTCTGATCCTTCCTGGGAGCCTCCTATGGGCTGATTGGCCGGGAATTGCTGGGATTTCTGTGGCTGGGAATCTGAAAATGCACATGTAGAAACACCTGACGAAGCACCTGAAGTGCTGTGACCGTGGCCGCAATGTACACTTGGATCGCCAGTCTCCTCGAACATTGCAGCTGATGTGACAATAGGGGGAGCCACAGCACGAACTGAATCCTGTGGATCTATTATAGCCGTATTACGCCTTTCAATCAGTTCACGACGTAGTCCAAGAGAGTCGCGACGAGATTAAGGGCGCTTAACACTAAAATTTCGGGTTCGTTCCAACTCATTTGGAGCGAGATCCAACATCGCACGAGCTTCACTGCACATTACCTCATCTTCATTACTCGAAAGCTGAAGATCCGCGGAGCTTCCTGGCATGGCTTCCAAACATGGAGCACATTTCTCTAAGTGGATTACATTTCTACATGGGTTCTTATAACATGGTTCAGGACGGTCCAACACGGTGAAAAGCGTTTCTCGAAACTTACCGCTTTTCACCGTGTTGAAACGAAGTTAACCGTAGTGGGCGTACAAAAAGTTCTACAACCTGTCGTCGCCCTAAAGCATATGGCGGCGTGGTACTGCTTCTACATGATTCACGGAATCCTGTCGCTGCTGGTGAAAGTTTTGGCGACCTGCGACCATTTTTTCGCACCTGCTGCGGCATGGTTACTAGAAGAGGCGAGGAAAGAAATAAAAAATTTTAGAGGTTTCTGACGTGGCTTATGCCTTTCTGAGCCCTTCGCTATTGGTCAATTGGTTGCCACTAACCTCATGCCATGTCAGCAACGTCTGAAGCATCTTCACTGTTCAGCGGTATTTTCTATACGCGAAACAAAAGCAATAGAGTGGTTTCGTACAATACTACAGTTTCAGACCCCATAAGAGTGTCACCTGTGATCTGCAACATGTTAGTTTACGTACATTGACCATACACATCCTTGTTTCTTTTAATGAGATGTTTTTATTGAGTCAAGGTAATATTTTTAGAGTCTATCAGTTCCACCTGAACTGAATGTCAAACTAAGCAGTAGGTTGAAATGAATGCACAGATACTTCTAAATCGTACTTACCTAATATCTGAACTACCAAAGCACAGCACACCAGCTGCAAGCGTCCATCATGTATGTAGATAGGGAATCTTCTGAAATAGAAGGAAAGGGGAAGATTCTGAGGGCTTGTCTTCACAAGGTGATGCTACCGTCACTTGCTAACAAGGTCGTGTCTCTTGCAACTCAGCAGCTGTACACACTGTCGATTTGAAAAGCTCGTGAACGGATAACGCCGCATCTTCCCTTAGTTCCCAGCACACGAAACACTGTCAGACGAAGCGGTGCTCATTGGCGAGCCGGGTACCTGGTTACCGTCACGGTTCCCAATCGCGATCGATTCATCGTCCGAAAGGAGCGACTCGTCGTACACGCGGGCAGAAGCTGCAGGGTAAGCGAAGAGCTTACTACCTTTGACAGAATATCCCACAGATGCCGTCCGCGAATCCCAGCAACTCGTTGTCGCTCTCGCCGTCGACCTCCTTGTTCGCCGGCTCGACTGGCGGCGCTCAGTTCCTGGAGTCGACGCGACAGGATGCTGTGTCATCGTCCACGAAGAGCACTCGCTTCGCTCATCCCCGTCGTAGTCTTCGCCTTCGTCGTCGTACATCCCGCTGACGCCAACGGAGTGCAGAGTTACGGCGTCGCTGCTTCCGTCCCCGTGAGGCGCACTCGTTCTACCTCTCCGTCTGGAAAAGGGCATGGACGGCTTGGAATTCGTGGCACGATGCTTAGTACTATCAGCGTCTCTGGAGGAGGGACGCAGGCGGCGAGAAATCCAGGAGGCGATAGAAGAGAAGATGGAAGGTTCAGCGGGAAAATCCGTTGTCGGCGTGGGGTTTCCCAAAGCGTCAAGCTTCTTGCGGATGTTGGGGCCGTATCGATGTCGAACGCGTTTGGGTTGAGACGGGAGCGCCATGATGGCGGGCTGCTTATGTCCGTGGGGCGCAGCGGACATGCAGCTGATTTCGGACGAGGATTTTCGGATGCAGAGTGAGTGGACTTGTAGGGATGAGCGTCAAGCAGAAGAGCATTCTATGAGCCAGCGCATTGGAAATTGTTGTGGAAATTGAGCTGATTTCTGCTGCTGTGTAATCTTTGTTTGTCTCGTTCCGAGCTTTGGGAGACTAGGGGGATGGTGGTTGCATGGAGCGAATTCGGAATTTGGATTTCTGAAAAGCGATTCGGCTGGTGGAGCGACATGCCGACTGTGCAAAACCGTGCAGAGGCTCGAATTTGGCGCACGCGGGCCAGGTCATTGGCGACAGAGGAAACCCCACGAATTCGCATGGTGGTGGGTACAATATCACCGAAACCCCGTTCGCGGAACCGCGCGTTTCGAAAAGTTGTACCAGCCGTTACGAATGCTTTAGTAATTCAATATGGGAATGAGCAAACACGTTTCGTTATCCGGAGATTTAGAGCACAGATCTAATAACGAGAATTCCCAAGAAGGGGTGGGGGCGACACGGATTACTCCCTAGTCCTACGTACAGCACAGCATGGCTGGCGACGACTTGCGACGCTAGCTACATGATCACGCTGTGCTGGCAATCAAGAATTGGTTTAGCCACGATTTTCTGGACACGCTGTCACTGCTGGGCAGCTCAAACACCGTGGCGTTGAAGGACTTGACCGCCCGAAGCTTCCAACACTTCCACAACCACCAAATGCTGACGTACTCCTGATGCCTGTTTGAGCCCCTCCCGGTTGCCTTGTGAAGGGGGCATATAAGCTGTATCGTGCGTTTCGCATAAGTTCGTCAATTTCGCAGCAAGCTAAAAAGAATTCGCATGTGCTTATAAACAAGACCCTGCTACCTAGTTACCTAGTTTGACTTCAGTCTCTTCTGCTTGACTTCGGTCTCTTCTGCTTGACGCGCTTGTAATGTGGGTGCATGAAGCTGGGGAAACAACCTCGGGTGCAGCGTGTCCATCCGGCGCAAGGCAAATTCGCGCGCATGGGGTGAGCATCAGCTGTATTTCACTCTCCCAATTCCTTTTTTCTAGAGCTCGGGTAGCCACCCTTTTCTTCAAAACAAGTCCAGATACAGACCACGCGGTCCATAAAAAGCAACATAGCTGACTGGAACTTGTGGGTTTTGCCGAAGCAGAGATAGAGGTTTGAAAACAAACCTGGGAGGGTGTGGGGGCATGTCCTTTCAAGGAGGGAAGAGACAAAATATGCGATGTTTGTTCAGCAATACTGCAGCTGAATTGGTTTTGATTATTCCCTGCCCAAATTGTTCAACCTTTGTAGGGTTGACCTTTGGGTGGCGGGAGAAGAAGTTGACTTGTTGTGAGTTGGGCTGTTTGCTTTCGCCCAGTTTCGCGCTAGACCCTTGGGGTTTTCGTTGGCACGGCAAACCCCTGGGAGCAACCTGGGTTTGCAAAGTCGACTTCAACGCATTGCACTTCAAAATACACGAGGGTTTTCACTTGACAACGATTCCCAGTGATTGTTATTGCCCTTGGAAACCCAGGAATTTTCTGGACCAATCAGACTCTCCTGGCCAGCAAGCACATCGCCACCGATCAAAGCAATCCTGTCAGCTAATCCAAGCCGTACAAGCCACTATCCATCCCACACTTTAATACAGTTTACTGTATTCAGAAATAATCTCCACCGTTCGAGTGCCTACATCGACGGATACAGCTCTTTCAACCGCCCTTTGACTGCGTCGACAGGTGATACAGCTCCACATGATCTCCTGGCTCGAACTACGGCCCTGAAACATATCCACACCACACATCACGCCTTACCTCCACCCCCAAAACTAAGCAAGTCTGGTTCGGCAAGCTGCAGCCATGAAGAACTGCAGCCTCGTCGTCGAGCACCTGACGTGGAATATGGTCTGGGTGGATCAGGTTGGGGAAGACCGGGCTTGGTTGAGGGAGGCGAGATAAAATTGTACTGTAGGCTGGTTAGGGGAGTCTCGGACAGGTCAGTGGTTACTGGTCACCTCCAGCAAGCAAGAAAACTTTGCCGCGGGTGGGGCCACTCACCTCACCACCAGTTACCAGACCTGGACCTGGCGGTTAGGGAGCAAAGGGAACTCACCAAACCCTCACGAACGTCTTTGACCGCTCGCAGATCCCGAGACACTAGAAGAACGTCTTGACTCTCTCCTGCTCTGTCATTGTTTCTGCTTTCTTTCCCAATTCTCGCGTTTTGATGATTGATGTGTGAACGTGTGGTGCTCCTGTGTGTGGTGAGCTGTGGTTTCTGTAACCCTGGATGTGCGCTTCCGCTTGCAAGGGTCATGGCGCCCCGCATAGACGGCTAGTATTTTAGGAACTCGATTTCCGGATCTCCTTTTCTTTTCCACTTTGTTTGTCGTATGTCTCAGCTTAGGCTTGTTGTCTCGCGTTCGGTGGCGTTTCTCCCTTCCTCCCCGCACCTGCTCGTCATCCTGTCTCTTCCCGTACCTTTCCCCCCAGATTTTCCTTCCTTTTTGGCAACGTTTAGCTAATTTAACTTTTACTGTCAGTAAGAATTGGAAAAGGTTTGGGGAGCTGGATATTGCAGGAATTTGAATTGAGTGAGAGTTTGGATCTGGACCAACCGCGTAATATCGTGCGAAGACCTGGACTCGCACAACTTGAAAACGCAAGATAGCGTTTAGCTACCCGGTAGAGTTATTTCGGAAATCAGCCGAGCCGCCTACACTGTAGATTAATGTCCGGCGAGTCGATCCACGCTCCAACCATGGAGACCCAATTAGAGTCGCTAAGTACGCTGTGTAAGAAGCTTCTAGACGCGACGACGCTGGCAAACTCGCAAACCAAGGTGCTGATGAAGCACGCTAATACGATGTATCTACGTGTTGAGATGGCGAAGCAATCCGCGGGACAAGCGGACCCGGACTTTGATGAGAGCCTTAGCGGGTGAGTAGCCTTCTCACTGTTAAGTTTCTGTCATAATAAGTTGAAGGCCGGCAATTTCCGGGACAAGCGGACCCGGACTTTGATGAGAGCCGCCGCCTGTGAGTGGCCAGCCTTTTCGTTGTGAGGCTTTTGTCAGAATTAAGATAAGCAGTGGTTGTGTTTCCGGGTCAAGCAATTTCGGACTTCGATGAAAGCCTTAGACGGTGAGCTGAGGAGCACGTTCTTTGCTTTACTTGATGCAAACTTTTCAATACGCGGCTTTCCGAAGTCGAACTAATGTTCTTCGTCTTCGTCTTCGCCTTCGCCTTCGTCGTCGTCTTCGCCTTTGTCTTCGTCTTCGCAGTCGCCTTTGTCTCCCCCCTGGCCTTTGTCTTCCCCTTGGCCTTTGTCTTCACCGTCGCCGTCGCCTTCGCCGTTGTCTTCGTCTTCTTTGGCGAGGATGTTCGAGGCTTCGACAGCTCTGCTTACAATCTTCGCATAGTTGTCCGCTGTGGTTCGAATGTGTCTCTTCCTGGCACCTTTGACGGGCGTTCGACGCACAAAGCCTCTCAATGCCTTTCGCGTCGTCCCCTTGTCTTGTCGTTCACCTCCTTTATTTCCGTTGTTTTTTTTTTCTCGTTATCCCTGCCCTTTCCCAGTGACGTGGCAGAAGCTCAAGATCTGGTCCAATCAGCGATGGAGGCCCTGGGAAGCTGCCAGGCTCTTCTCGGACCCCCGAACCCTGACGCGGAATCTCCTCCTGCTGACGTGGCATCGCCCCCACACTCGCGCTGCGCTGAGGAGCAACACGTGGACCAACAGGACAACTCGTACTCGCAGCATCCGCATCCTCATCAGCAACAGCAGCAGCAGCATCACAATAATCCGCTTCAGAACCACAATCAGAGCCATCAGCAGCAGCAGCAGCAGCAGAACGGGGATAGCAACGGCGACAACGCGGCATCGTTCCCCCCCGACCATCCCAACGGTCAGACCGCCACTCATCCCTCCTCTCCCGCGCGTTCCGCCGTCCCATCCGCTGCTGCCGCCAACGCTTCTCCCGCTGCTGCGGGCAACGGAACCGACGCATCCGCTCCGGCCAATCCCGGCACCGCTGCTGCTGCAGCCGCCGCGTCCGCCGCTTTTCGCGCGGCAGCGGCAGCGGGAGCGTCGGGGCGACCCACTCCCGAGGAGCTGGGGATGCATTTGCGAATGCTTGGCGACATGAACCTTGGTTCGGATCGCAGCGTGGGCGACGTCGTCGCGTCAGTGCTGCAGCAGCTGAACCACGGGATGAACAATCATCACGGGATGAATAATCACCACGGCATGAATCACCCCGGAATGAGCCACCACGGAATGATGCCGTTTCCGCCCGGGATGTTCCCAATGCCGCCGCCCGGAGTCCTTCCCCCGCACGGCGTCTTCCGCCCCCCGGGCTCCGCGCACCCGCCGCTTCCGCCGCTCGGATCCGCCCCCGGGCCTTCGGACGCGGACGGGATGAGCAGCTCCGGCGGAGGAGGTTCGGCGGCGCCCGGAGCCCCTGGTTCGGCGGCGGCAGGAGCGGGAGGCGCGGGGGTTCCAGGTCCCCCTGTGCTTCCGCCGATGTGGATGTCTCCGCACGGGCTCGCGTTCTGGCCGCGCCCGGGGGGAAATAACGCCATGCATCATCCCCCCCCGATGGGGGGAAGCATGGGCGGGAGGGGTAGCACAGGGGGGATGGGGTCCCCCGCGCCCCCTCCGCCTGTGCCGTCCGCGGAAGGCAAGGAGGGAGGACGTGGCGGAGCGAGCGCATGGATGTCCGCGGGAGGGGGCGGAACGGCGGGAGGGGGCGCGGGGCAGCATCAGGGCTTTGAGGCGCCGCAGAAATCGCATCTGGGGGTTGAAGGGGGGGCGCAGAAACAGCTTCCGCCAACCGAGGGCGCGCAGAAGGTGCATGCGCCGCCGCAGCACGCGGGGCAGCACGGGCAGCACCCGGGGCAGCACCCGGGGCAGCGGAAAGGGGGCGCGGGGAACCACCCGCACGCGGAAGGGCGGGGGTTCCAGGGATGGAGCGGGGGAGGAGGGGGAGGGGGCGCGGGGAAGGATGCGGGGAAGGACGGGGGCAAGGGCACGGGTGAGGGGGGAGATAGTGAGGGTGTAAAAGCAGGCGGAAGCGGAGGCGCAGGGAGTGGGAGTGGGGGCGGGACAAAGCGGAGTGCTGCGGCTGCTGCTGTTGGCGCTGCTGGTGGCGGTGGGGGTGGTGGCGGTGGTGGGGGTTGTGCAGAGGAGGACGGTGACGATGGAGCAGTGCTGCATAAGAGGTGCGTGTTGCATGAGAGGTGTTTAATGCATAGGCGCCATAGGTGGTCTGCGTGATTGTGCTCTAAGATCTTTGAAAAACTCCCATGCACGTGTGACTCCTCCACCCTTCCCCACCACACTTCCGTACCGTCCTTTTCTAACCCTCTTTCTCCCGCCCTCCCTTCCCTCTTGCCAGGCCGCGCATGCCGTCATCGAAGCCGTCAGCGCCGGAGATGCCGATGGACGGGTGGGAGTGGCGCAAGTACGGTCAGAAGGTCACCCTCGGCCAGACCTACCCCAGGTACCTGCCTTGCCCTTCTGCCCTTCTGCCCTTCTGCCCCGCTGCCCTGCCCTTCTGCCCCGCTGCCCTGCCCTGCTGCCCTGCCCTGCTGCCCTGCTGCTTGCCATACCCCCCTTCTTCAAGTTTTGAGTCGACTTAGAACAAGTACGGCCAGAAGGTGACTCTCGGCCAGACCAGACCTTCCCAGGTAGCTAGCTGCCTTGCCCTGCTGCCTACCATGCGCCGCCTTGCTGTGCTGCCTCCATGCGCCCCATTACTGTGCTGCCATCCTCCTCCGCCCTAATACCCCTCTCCGGCCAAGAAGTGGGCGGAGAGGTGCAACGATAACCCCGTCAAGTGGCGCATCAAATACGTTGGCGAGCATAACCACCCACTCTCTCTCACCCCCTCTTTCTCCCCTTTCCCCTTCCCCCTTTCCCGCTTCCCCTTTTCCCCCCTTCCCCACTCCCTCTCCTCCCTGCTTTCCCCCGATCCTCCTCTCCCCCCACAGGAGCTACTTCCGCTGTGCACACAAGACCACGGGGTCTCATCCCTGCCCCGCCAAGAAGTGGGCGGAGAGGTGCAACGACAACCCCTTCAACTGGCGCATCAAGTACGTGGGCGAGCACAACCACTCCAAGCCGCCCCCCCGCCCCGTCACCATCACCATCATTCATGACGGCCCTGTGGATGGAACTGCCGCTGCTGCTCTCCCCGCTCCTCCCCCTGCTTCTGCTGCTGCTGCTGCTGCTGCTGGTGGTGGTGCCGTCGCTGCTGGTGCTGCCGGTGCCACCGGTGCCGGTGGTGCCGGTGGTGGTGGTGGTGGTGGTGCCGGTGCTGGTGCTGGTGCTCTTGCTGCTCCCTCGCCGCTGTCTCTTCTCGCCCCGGCTGCACCGCCTTCCCTGGCTCTTCCCGCTCCCCACTCTACTGCTGCTGCGGGTTCTGCTGCTGCTGTAGCTGCGCCCGCTGCTCCCGAGGTTACCTCTGCAGCTCCTGCTGCTGCTTGTGCCGCGGGAGCGATTGGCTCTGCAGCACAGGCAGTGAAGCAACCCCCTTTTGACATTCTCCAGGTGCGGCTGGGAGGAGGAGAGATCGGAGGAGGAGGGGGTGGAGGAGGCGAGGTGCAAGCAGGACCAGGGGTGGTGGTAGAAGCAAGTGGGAGTCACAGTCACGGGCACAGTCACGGGCACAGTCACGGGCACAGTCACAGTCACAGTCACAGCCACGAGCCTACAGACATGGGAGAAGAGTTTTCCGAGGGATTCGCGTCTCCTGGGAGTGACAAGGGGGGGGCGAGTCACAGGGTAGGTGGGGCGAACGGAGGGGAGACGACTGGTGGGGAGAATGGGGGGATGAAACAGCAGAGCACCCCCAAAGGCCGCGATTTCCTGTCGGGTTTTGGGCAGGGAGAGGTGTTGAAGGGAGTGGGCAGCGGTGAAAGCAATGGGAGTGGAGTAACGAGAGGGTCGGTTGAGGAAGCGGGGAAGCAAGTGGAGCGTGGTGGTAGTGGTGGGTGTGGTGCTGCTGCTGTAACTGGTGGGGCTGCCGCTGCCTCTGCTGCTGCTGCTGCAGGTGCTTCTGCTGCAGGTGTTGTCTGTGCTCCTCCTTCCAGTGCCCAAGCCACGCTGCAGACGCAGCAGTCACGGGCAGGAGAGAGGAGTGAGCAGCAAGAAGCGTGCCTGGGGCTTGCCGTGTCTTCTGATGGGCTGACCACAAGCAAGCAGCAGCAGCAGAAGCAGTCAGAGGGAGGGGGAGGTGGTGGTGATTGTGGTGCCACGTTAGCAACAGTCCAGGCTGATCCCGCAGGTCATCAAGCGGATAGGGTGGATGGCGTGGATGGTTCAAAGGCCGCAAGCCTGTGGACCGGAGCAGATAAACCAGCAGCAGCAGGAGGAGGAGGAGGGGGAGGAGGAGGAGGAGGAGGAGGAGGAGGAGGAGGAGGAGGAGGAGGAGGAGGAGGAGGAGGAGGAGGAGGAGGAGGAGGAGGAGGAGGAGGAGGAGGAGGAGGAGGAGGAGGAGGAGGAGGAGGAGGAGGAGGAGGAGGAGGAGGAGGAGGAGGAGGAGGAGGAGGAGGAGGAGGAGGAGGAGGAGGAGGAGGAGGAGGAGGAGGAGGAGGAGGAGGAGGAGGAGGAGGAGGAGGAGGAGGAGGAGGAGGAGGAGGAGGAGGAGGAGATAACAGTGCAGAAGCAGACATGAAGCGAGAGGAGGGAGCTGACACCAACCGCACCAAGGAAGAAAGTATCAGGAACGGGGATGGGAACGGGAATGGGGCTGAAAATGGGAGTGGGAATGTGGGTGGGGTTGAGAGCACAGGAGAGGAGGAGTTGGAGAGCCAACCAAGCATTGACATCAAGCCGCGGGACGCACAATCTAATCCCAGTGCATGGGCCTCTGCCAATGACGCCTCTGGGATGGGCTCCTCTGCAGGCGCCTCTGGGAACTCCAGTAATCCTTTTCCCGGGTATACCGGCCCGCTCCCGTCTGCTCTCATGCAAGGTCCCCTCCCCACGCCCATGTGGATGTCCTCCCTCCCTCGGGATTCGCCTCGGATTCTGATTGGCCCGGGCGGCGCCAGGTGGCCGATGGGGAGGGATTCGCCAGGTCAGATGCAGTCGCCGTTTAACATGCTGTCGCCGCTGAATACCGCCCGGGTTTTTTCTGACGTGGCGCAGGCGCCGCTGCCGTCGCCTATTGACTTGCCGGAGATCAAAGGAGAGTAAGAGGTGTGTTCACAGCCGAACGGCTTAGCAGCAGTCGTTTAGGGGTCGATAAATCAATGGTTCAGGTCTAGATAAACAAAGTGTCGGTTTTGGTGGGCATATTCTGTAAGGCAGAATTCATTCTCTGTATGAATTTTGTTTAGGGTTTCAATGATGTGACAGTACAAATCCACGATATTTCTTGACTTGAACCATGGTTCGATGAAACCTACCCACACCGCACACCAAGCCTTTCATCCACCCTAAAGACTTCGGGGGGTGGTCCGAGTTGGAGAACCTGCGGGCGGACCGAAACCACACCTCTGGCTCGGCGCGCTTTTGATGTGGAGTCTGGTTGGGTGGTCCGAACAAGAATTTCGACTCTGGTCTGGTTCGATTCGAGCGGTACGGGATTGGTCAGTGGTCACTAGTCGCCTCGGAAAATCAAGCAGACTTGACGCTGTCAATTCTTTAGGGCCAATCACCTCGCCTCTCCAGACCAAACCAGTTACCAGACCTGTGAACGCCTCTGTGAACGCCATCTCGGATGTGGAGGCGGGGAGGGAACTCGCCAAACCCTCACAAACGTCTTTGACCGCTCGCAGATCCCGAGACACTAGAAGAACGTCTTGACTCTCTCCTGCTCTGCCATTGTTTCTGCTTTCTTTCCCAAATTCTGCCTCCAGATCAGACGGACATCGATGTGAATGTGCAGTCGTGCTCTCTGTAATTCTGAATGTGCGCTTCCGCTTGTGAAAATTTTTGGCGCCCCGCGTAGACAGCTAGTAGTATATTAGAAAACTGCCAAAACTTTTCCTTTTTTTCTCTCTCCTCTTTTTTCTTTTTCTCTTTTGGGAATAAGTTATTGTTGTGTGCCTCAGCTTGGGCTCGCGTTGCTGGCGAGTCTCCTCCCGCACCTTAAAGTCCTTTCTCTTTCCGTCGCAGGTGTTAACAACGTATGACAACTAGGTCATACATAGAACCACATATCAGCCGAGGCGCCTACACGGTACCTTAAACGTCCTGCGAGCAGATCCACGCTCCGACCATGGATGAGCAATTGAGATCGTTAAGAATTCTGTGTGAGAGACTACAAGACACGTCGAGGAGGGCGCACTCGCACGCCACGAAGCTGAAGGAGCACGCTGATACCATGTGCTGCCGCGTCGAGAACGCTCAATGATCCGCGGGACAGGAGGACCCGGACTTTGATGAGAGCCTTAGCGGGTGAGTAAGCAGCCTTCTCGTTGTGGACTGATTGTTAGACTTCAGATTAGCAGACTCGATTTCAATCTCCGGGACAAGAGGACCCGGGACAAGAGGACCCGGGACAAGAGCCTCAGCAGTGGTGAGTGGGCAGCCGTCTCGTCTATGTCAGAATCAAGGCAAGCAGCGGTTTTCCGGAGCAAGCCGTCTTGGTCGTGAATGAAAGCCGGTGAGCGAAAGGAGCACGTTTTTGGATTTCCGGGTGTGTGATTGGACATTGAGATGTCGACGGTGACTCAATGTCTCATGTACTTTACTTCTGCCGCCTTTACCGGGCGTTCGACGAGCCAAGTTTCTCAATGCCTTTCGCGTCGTCCGTATCGTACCACCTACTTTCTTTTCCTCGTTTTTTTCGTCATTTCTTCCAGGGTTCATTGATTTCTCTCTCCCAATATCTTTTCCCTTCCGCAGTGACGTGGCAGAAGCTCAAGATCTGGTCCAATCAGCGATGGAGGCCCTGGGAAGCTGCCAGGCTCTTCTCTGACCCCCGAACCCTGACGCGGAATCTCCTCCTGCTGACGTGGCATCGACCCCCGTTTCGTGCTCTGCTGAGGTGGAACACGTGGATCAACAGGACAACTCCGAGTTGCATCCACATCAGCACGAGCAGCAGCAACAGCAACATCACAACAATCCGCATGAGAATCACAAACAGAGCCATCAGCAGCAGCAGCAGCAGCAGCGGCGGCGGCGGCGGCTGCGGCTGCAGCAGTGGCGGCAGCAGCGGCTGCAACGGCAGCAGCAGCAGCAGCAGCAGCAGCAGCAGCAGCAGCAGCAGCAGCAGCAGCAGCAGCAGCAGCAGAAGCAGTATGGATACAGCATGTCTCACCGCAACGATGCCGCCAGTGCGCAATTGTTCCTCTCCGACCACACAAACAACCAACCCGCCACCCACCCCACGGGGTGCACCTCTCTCGTGCGACCGGCCGTCCCATCACTGATGGCTGCCGCCCCCTGCGCTTCTCCCGCTGCAGCTACGGGCAACGGAACCGACGCATCCGCTCCGGTCACTCGCAATCCCGGTGCGGCCGCCGCCGGTGCAGCCGCTGCCGCTGCCGCTTCCGCCGCCTTTCGTGCAGCAGCGGCAGCGGGGGTACCAATCTCGGAGGAGGTGCGGATGCATCTGCGAATGCTGGGCGAGGTGAATCTTGATACAGACGGCAGCGTGGGCAACATAGTCTCTTCAGTGCTGCACCAGTTGAACCGTGACGGGATAAGGCCGTCTGACAGGATAAGGCCGTCTCCCCCTGCGGCGTTTCCCCTGGTACCCCCACCCGGAGTCCTTCCCCCGCCCGGAGTCCTTCCTCCGCACGGCGTTTTCTGCCCCCCAGGCTCCTCCCATCCGCAGCTTCTCCCACCCGGACCTGCAGGCTTGGGAGGTGTAGGTTCGGACGCCTCGGCAGTGACAGGAGCTTTGGGTTCGCCGGCGGCAGTGGGGGGAGGCCGGGGGATTGCTGGTCCCCCTGTGCTTCCTCCGCTCGGGGGGTGGGATAACACCTTGTACCATCCCCCCCAGTTAACGGGAAGCTTGGGCGGGAGGGGCATCACAGGGGGGATGGGTTCCCCCGCGCTTTTCGCGCCTTCCCCCCCGCTTCTTCCCGCGCTTCCCCCTGCGCTTCCCCCTGCGCTTCCCCCCGTGCTCCCCCTTGTGCCTGCACCTCCTGCGATTCCCCCGCTTCCCACGCTTCCCCCCTCCCCTGCGCCTATGGCAGCGGAAGGTGAGGAGGGAGGACGAGGCGGAGCGCGGCGCGCATGGATGCCCGCGGGAGGGGGCGGAACGGGGGGGGAAGGAGCGGGGCAACTTGAGGGCTTTGAGGCGCCTCGGATGCTGAGGGTGGGGAAGGACGGGGGAAAGGGCGCGGGTGAAGGGGGAGATGCTGAGGGTGCAAAAGCAGGCGCAGGCGCAGGGGGTGGGAGTGGGGGGGGAACAAAGCGGAGTGCTGCTGTTGCCGCTGCTGGCTGTGCTGCTGGTGGTGGGGTTGGGCTTGGCCCTGTGGGGACTGGTGGTGGTGGCAGCGGCTGCGGCGGCGGCTGTGGCGGCGGAAGTGGCAGCGGTGGCGGCGGTGGTGGCGGTGGTGGCACAGAGGAAGATGGTGACGATGGGGCAGTGCTGCTGCATAAGAGGTGTGTGTCGTGTGGTGACCGTGCCTTGAGTCGTCTCAAAAGTCAGTTGCTGCTGCCGGCTGTGGTGCTGGTGGTGGTGGGGTTGGCCCTGGGGGGGGTGGCTGGTGGAGCAGAGGAGGATGGTGACGATGGGGCAGTAGTGCTGCTGCATAAGAGGTGCGTGTCGTGTGGTGACCGGGTGGGAGTGGCGCATCTCATCCCGCCCTTCCCCCGTCTGATCTCTCATCCCGCCCTTCCCCCGTCTGATCTCTCATCCCGCCCTTCCCCCGTCTGATCTCTCATCCCGCCCTTCCCCCGTCTGATCTCTCATCCCGCCCTTCCCCCGTCTGATCTCTCATCCCGCCCTTCCCCCGTCTGATCTCTCATCCCGCCCTTCCCCCGTCTGATCTCTCCCCCCTATCCCTCCCCCCCCCCCCCTGGCAGGCCGCGCATGCCACGCATGCCCTCAGCGCCCGATATGCCAATGGACGGGTGGGAGTGGCGCAAGTACGACCAGAAGGTCACCCTCGACCAGACCTACCCCAGGTACCTGCCTTGCCTTGCCCTGCCTTGCCCCGCTGCCCCGCTGCCCCGCTGCCCTGCTGCTTACCATGCCCCCCGTTTTCAAGTTTTGAGTCGACTTGAAACAAGTACGGCCACAAGGACACACTCGGCCACACCTATCCCAGGTACCTGCCTTGCCCTGTTTCCATCTCCCACGCCCTCCTTGCCCTTCTGCCTCCAATGCTCTCCTTGCCCCGCCCACTCGCTGTGCCGCCATTTCACCCCCCTCCTCTCCCCCTCCCACGCTCTTGTGCTGGCGCTCCCTCCCCACCCCTCCCCACCCCTCCCCACCCCTTCCCCCCCTCCCCTGTTGTGCCTCCATGCCCAATGCCCTCGCTCTGCTTCCATCTCTTTGCTTTCCTGCCCCGTTCTTTCCATTTTCTTATCCCCACCATGCCCGGTTGTAACATGGGTAGAGCGCCGCCAACAACACCCTGTTTCGTCCAACTGACGAACCAAGCACATTGTGAACACACCCTTTCCCTCTTCCCTACTTTCCTCCAACCCCCCGCCTCCCCCCTTCCTCCCTCTCCCCCTCCCCTCTCCACACTAGCTACTTTTGCTGTGCGCAGTTTTGAGATCTCAAAACTTTCCTCCAACCCTCCCCCCCTCTCTCTCCCCCTCTCCCCTACCCACAGGAGCTACTTCCGCTGTGCGCACAAGACCACCGGTTCCCACCCCTGTCCCGCCAATAATTCTCTCCCCCCCCGCTTACCCTCTCCTCTCCTCCCACCTTCTCTCACAGGAGCTACTTCCGCTGTGCGCACAAGACAACCAGCTTCCACCCCTGTCCGGCAAAGAAGTGGGCGGAGAGGTGCAACGACAACCCCTTCAACTGGCGCATCAAGTATGTGGGCGAGCACAACCACTCCAAGCCGCCCCCCCGCCCCGTCACCATCACCATCATTCATGACGGGCCTGTGGATGGAACCGACGCCCTTACCCCTGCCGCTGCTCTCCCTGCTCCTGCCACTGCTGCCCTCCCTACCCCTGCCGCTGCTCTCCCTACCCCTGCCGCTGCCCTCCCTACCCCTGCCGCTGCTCTCCCTACCCCTGCAGCTGCTCTCCCTACCCCTGCTGCTGCTCTCCCTACCCCTGCTGCTGCTTTCCCTACCCCTGCTGCTGCTCTCCCTGCCCCTGCCACTGCTGCTCTCCCCGCCCCTGCCGCTGCATTTGAGGCACCTCAAAAGGCGCCTCCTGCTGCTGCTGCTGCTGCTGCTGCTGGTGGTGCCCCTGCTGTTGGCGCTGCTGCTGCCGGCGCCGCTGAATGCTCCGAGGGTTATTTATGATGTGGTGCAAGTGCTGTTGCCGTCTCCTCTCGACCCGCCAGGGTTTAGAGATTTTGAAGATAATTGTAATTTTGCTAATGGGTTGTTGTGTTGCATGTATGATATTACTTGTATATTGAAAGCTTTGTGTTGGAATTGTTGGTGTTTGATTTATTACAGAAGTTGTAGGTTGTTATATTTTTACTGTACACTGAGCTACCTCTAAAGGCTCCAATTTTGAATAAGAATGAACACATATGGTTCTATACTAAGTAATCTCGCACATACAGAACGAAAACACGTGGCCCACATTCTCGCAATTGCTTTCTGCGATGGCGATCCCAAAATACATCTGAATGAATCCCGACCGTCAGTTCATAAATACAGGTGGCAATTGTGGTCAGAGCAAGGTTTCCTCAACTTGGGATGGATAATGGAGGGCTTGGATGGGTGACGAAGGGTGCGGTGACGATGGAGGACGGGTGGGCGGTCAGAGATCCGCGCCAACGAGTCACGAAGAACGGCGCCGTGTGGAGAAGCGCAGGCGAGCCTGCTTGTGCTGCGCTCGCAGCGCGGCTCAGCGCAGCCTCGTCATGAAGATCCGCCGTGCGGAGAAGCGCCGAGCCTGCTGGTGCTGCGCTCCTGCGTGGATCGGCTCGAGAAGCCAAACAGCCACGACTTGCGCGCAAGCGCGCTTGTAACTACGGTAGCACGTCCGTCGCTGCCGCCGCTGCCGCTGACGCTGACGCTGCCACTGCCGCTGTCGCTGCCGACGCGGTTGTTGCTGCTGGAGATGGTGGTGGTGCTGGTGGTGCCGCTACGAGCAGTGCTAGTGCGCTCGAATATTTGCGCGCGGGTTCCGCCTGTTTGCTCCGCTGCTGGCGGAGAGAGCGGCTGCTGCGTCGAATACTCGAACTGCGCTGATTTGGCGCTCTCGGCGCTCCGCTTAAGCTTGCGCACACCACGCGGCTCGTGCGCAGCTTGAACTTCCCCGAGCTGCGGATCCTCCGCGCATTCCGCCGTCCCCTGCGCCTTGCGAGGGTTTCCGCCGGCTCGCCACGTGGAATGCTGTTGTTGGCCGTAGCAGCTCGTTACGTGGACATGCTTGCCGCTTTGCTGAGCTGCAGCGAGTTTCTCGAGTTGCCCTAACCAAGACTCGGATTCTTGGTGCGAAATCCACACGTCAGCAACGTTGGATAGAATCCTTTCCCGCGTCGCGATGGAGTTTCGACGAAGCTGCTGCAGAAAGAGCCGCTCGCGCTCGCTTATCGCGGCGGTTTCCGACTCGCCGGCGCCGGCGCCGTCGCCGCCGCCGCGATAATCATCATCACTACTATTTGAAACGCCGGAGATATTATCCGCAGAAGATGGCGACTCTAGACCGCGAGTCACGTCACTCCTCGCTCCGGCATCCATGCTGAACCTAGGAAGGTCTACGGGCAGCATCGAGCCGCTGCTCGCGCCGCGCCGCTTCGCTGCCGCTGTCGCCTCAGGGAACGGCGCGCTGTGGTAGACTCCCGCGCTCTGCCTTTGAAACCCATTTGCAGGTGAAGACGACACGTCGAATCGAATCTCCTCCCACCTGCAACCGCCGGTATCGGAGACTTGGTTGTCGGCGCGGCCAGCGGCGCCAGCGGTGAGCCTGGAGCCGAGGTTCCGGCTCGGCGACGCGCTGGTTAGGACCGTTCTGCTGCCGATGAGTTTCCTGCGCGGGTCTTCTGAGCTGACGAGCGCCATGAATCCTCTGGGCAGCGTCTACTGTTACGGAACGAATAATCAGACGGATTGCTATAAAAGGTGAGGCTAAGAGGTAACTAGAAAAGCGAGAAGAACACAGATGTGAGCTTGGAAAGCATATGCTACTAGACCAGGAAAATGACAGAGGCTAGAGATAGGGTAGGATAGGATCTCAGAAGAGTGCAGGAGCGGAGGATCGCGGCTGCTACTGCTGGTGCTAGCTAGGTGGAGCCAGGCCAGGAGGGGAGAGTGGAGCGGAGGAGAGACCATTGGAGGAACTCGGAAGAATGCTTTTTCTGGCACACAGTGCGAGTGCAGCAAGTGCCAGTGCAGACAGCAGTACAGTTACATCCAGTGGACCTGCTGTGCCTTGGGAAAGACCAATCAGGGCGTTCGTCGGAACTGTACAAAACCATTAGCCGACAAACGGAAGGACCACTGCGGCATTCGAGTCGGGCCATTTTTAACGGCATTCAAATCATGCCAGTGCGATTATGCAGATGCATACTATAGACGGCCGTAGGGGAAAGAGGCTGACGGACTGTATCTGCCCGCGGTCAGAAAAAACTAAACCCCATCTGGATGTCATGCGACTGTGGGAGCCTCAACACGGGTAACCGCGTAATTTTGACGGCAGGTTGACATTTTGGCCTGAACCGTCTATTGCATGCGCTCGCAAACTTGCACTAGCAAGATCTGCATGCATTCGGTAAAAGCCGCATTCGAGTCTGTACAAAACCTGTACAGTCGTACATCTGACACTATACACAGTTAATCTGGGTAGGCGGGTCAAACTTTGTTCGGTCACAGTTCATGGTACAGAACACTGTTTGGGCTGGTGCGTAGCGGTTCAAAACGTTGAAGAAGAGTCACCGCTCTAGATTCACATCACAAGCTCCTGTGTACAACCGCTTCTACTCAACAGAGTAACCAGGCCTACCCGCCGCGAAAACAGTACGGAACTGTACAGAAATTTTTTTTTAAAAAAAAAATATGTTAAGATATACACCGATGATGCTAGTGCATACAAACATATATCAGTCGTAACTGAGCGTGAGAGGCCCGGCAGCGTGCCAGCCTCAGGGGACGACTCTAAGGGGGATGCAGTGCCCCTCGCGCAAGATTCCACAGCGCGCCAAAGCGATGGGACCATTTCCAGCCCTTGCCATTCAGAGACCGGACACGTCCAAGGAGCCGACCCTCCTGTTCTGCCAGCGCGTATGTCTTCCCGCCCTGCCTCAAGTCACCCTTCATGTTCAGCTTTATCCCTGTTGCCCGAGTGTACACCCGCACATGGAGCCTGAAAGCTGCTTCAATCCTCCTCAGCACCCGCCTGGCCCGAAACCTCTTGCCTCGAAACACGCAATCACACCGTTCTGCCCAAATCTGGTGTATTGCGATTGCCGAGAGAGATGCTTCCGGAAAAGCTGAGGTGGAAGCGGTGTTGCCAAACAGTAGGTCACCCAAGCTGTCAACATGCCTCGTCGGATTCAGCATGCGCAGAGCCTTCCGAACTGCCCCCACAACCGTCTGGATCCTTGGACAGGTGTAGAGGCAATGTTCCAGAGTTTCAAACTCCCCGCAATGCGGGCAGACCGGCTTTCCACTCAGGAAGGAAAGCCGTTCGCCCACCTGAAGGTTGAGACTGTGAATTCTCAGCAGCACATCCCGCGGTCGGTTCGGCGTCACCGGCGAGTCCCGAATTTTCACAACCCTTTTCCAGGCAATGGCTCCTGCCCATCTGCCCGCCCAGAGCTCCCGTTTGGCCGATTGATGTTTCGACTGTTGCCAGTTCCCCTTCAACTCCTTCAGCGATGGTATCCCCCCACCACTGAAAGCCGCTGTGCGCTGTAGCGGAGTGCGGAGCTGGGTGGTGGGTGCACAGGATTGCTCGGCTGAGAGGAGAAGCAGTTTCCAGCTCTGCGGTGCAGCCTCCCACGCCCGTAGAGCAAGCTTTGCCTGCTTCGAGCCACCGAGCTCCCTCGCTAGGGTTTTGACATCCTTCACACACCAGCCCCCGTCCTCACCCGCGACCAGCAGGTTACCCAGACGCACCTCCCACAATTTTCCTGCGGCTTTCTGGCTGCCCACTGGAGTCGTGCCATTCATCAGGATATGGCGGTTGAAAACGATCCGTTCCTTCGCAGCTTCCTCCCGTGATAATTCAAGCGACGTGCTGGCGAGCGGCGACTGCATGAAGTTAGCGCACGCAAGCTTCCACCGCTCGCTTTTCCCGCGCCAGCATTTGAGCAGCTTCACGTGGGCGACGAAAGTGTCCGTTCCCAGCGGCAGGTCCGCAGCTTGGAGCATGATGTCGCGTTTCAGCGCGTTTGTCTCGGTGAGCAGCAGCCCGATCTTCCTGGCAATTAAGCAGGTAAGTGCAATTTCAGGGTCCTTCACACCGACGCCCCCCTCTTCCCTGGCCATCTACAGCAGCTCTCTGCTCCACAGTATGAATTCCTTGTCGGTAGAGGCCCGGTTTCCCGACATGAAATTGTGCGTCAGTTTCAGTATCCTCCCCCAGATATCCATCGGCGGCGGGTACACCTGAGCCTGAAAGAAGATTATCGGTGAGACGTAGCAGTTGATCACCGCAGCACGCGCGCCAGTTGTAAGGTGCTGCGCCTCCCACTGCGACAATTTCCGCTTAATCTGTGCGAAAGCCTTCTCCCATGTAGGATTGCAGCTTCCAGCAGGAGTCACCCACACCCCCAGCAGCCTTTCTGCCTCATCGGCTTTCGCCCATTTGAAACCATCGGTCTTCCAGGGCTGCCTGCCCAGATTCGACCCCAGAGGTAAGACAACTGACTTCTCCTTGTTAGTGGCGAGACCTGACTCCCCTGCAAACTCTTCTAACAGCTTCTCTGCCTCTGCAATCTGCACCTCCCCCTCCAGGATAAGAGTTGTATCGTCGGCGTACCCAAGGTACGCCAGCCGCTGATCACCCTCGGAAACGCCTATCCTCCGGTTCACCGCTTCTTGCGCTAGCGGCTCCACCGCGCACAAAAACAGGTAAGGTGCAAGGGAGCAGCCCTGGCGCACCCCCGAGACCACATCGACCGCTTCACCAATCCAACCATTAACCAACAGACTTGTCCGTGTGTTCTCATGCAGGCCCCGAATCCATCCGACAAATCGGGGAGGAAAACCCATCTTCTCCAGCACCGTAAACAGGAATCCCCGCGACACAGAGTCGAAGGCCTTCCTGAAGTCAACGAGCAGGAGGTACCAATCTTTGTCCTTGTTTTTGGCTGCTTCAATAATATCCGCCACCAGCCCCACAGCATCCGACAACCTCCTCCCGGGTAAGAAGCCAAACTGCTCCGGTGAGACGACCTCCGAGAGCGCTTTCTTCATCCTGTCTGCTACCACACGCGCTATCACTTTGTAGGTGAAACTGAGCAATGTGATTGGACGGTAGTTCTCCAGCTGATCTCTGCCCCCTTTCTTGTGCAGCAGGATGGTCACCGCGTCTTTCGTGGAGGTTGGAAGGGACGCCGTGTCCGAGAAGCTTTTCACCAGCAACATGAAGTGTTTGCCCAAGATGTCCCAGTGCGCTTCAAAGAGCTCCTTTGGCAAGCCGTCCCGACCCGGAGCCTTATTTTTCGTCATCGACTGAAACGCGCGCTTAACCTCCTCTTCCGACCACTCAGCTGTCAGCGACTCCGCCACTGCTGACGACATCCTTCTGTCCGCCGAGGGTTCCCACTCAGATAAGACCGTCTGTCTGTCTGCTCCAAACAGCTGCCGGTAGTACTGCGAGGCTGCATCCAAAATGCTTTTGTTGTCACTAACCATTGTGCCTCCCACGTTTAACTCCGTGATTTGCGTGCGTGCCTTCCGGCCCTTAATCTTCGCAGATAAAAAAGGTGATGCGACTTCCCCCAACGTCACCTCCTTCATACCGGCCATCACGTGCAGTCTCTCCTGCCGGGACTGCTGATAGCTTCTCAGTTGGAGCTCCCTTTCACTCAGCAGGTCCTTGAGCCGGACGCAACTCGGGTCCCCCAGCCACGCTTGTTTCAGATCAGCAACCGCCTGATGAAGAAAGGACAACGTGGCGCGAACCCTCTTACTCTCCTCTCTGGCGTAAGCCTTGAGCCCCGCGTTCAGTCTCGCGATTAGCAACTCGTAATTGCCACCCGATTCCTCCATCTGATTCGACACCCGCTCAATCACCTTTCTGACACCCGGTCTCCCCACCATGTATGCAGGAAGCCTCCAGAGGCCCGGTCCCGTCTGCACTTGCGTGCTCATCCTGAAGGCCACCTTAATCGCGAAGCTGTGATCCGAGATTGGGTCGGCAGGCATGATGTGGGAGGCGAACTCAACATGCAATAGCAGAGATTGCGAGATGAGCGCGCGGTCTATGCGCGAGCTGGTCTGGCAGGCGTGTGAGTAGAAAGTGAACTCCCGCTTGAAGGGATGCAGAACGCGAAAGGCATCCGATAAACGGACGGCACTGCAGCGCTGGTACAACTCATCATTCTCCTTGGTCGTCCCCTTCCTGGAAGTCCTGTCCAGCAGCGGATCCTCCACCAGATTCAGATCCCCGAGGACAAGCAGGTGAGCGCCAGGCGGTACACCGTCAACCACTGGGCCCAGGACCCGACGGATGAAGGACTTCCTGTCCGTCACGTCCGCCGGGAAATACACTGCTACTAAGGTGATGTGAAAGGCGTCAAGCTGCACGTCCGCTTTGATCAGTCGGCCTGACGGGTGAATCAAAATGTTATGAAGTGATAAACCTTGTCTGCGACAGATCAGCGCAACACCGCCGGCTTTGGCAGTTGGTGAGGCAACTAAAGTCCTAGGCTGTTTGAGAGAGTTCCAGTATGGGTGGTCGTCTGCTAATCTTGAGTCTGAGAGTATAGTGATATCAGCTGCTTGCCTGATCCAGTTCTTCGTACGCTGTTGCTTGTTCCCGTCCCCCAGGCCGTTCACATTCAGGCCTGCTACTGTGAGAAGTTTTTTTGTACTCATTTGATCACTGCTTGATAGCCTCCCCTCATCCACAGGCTGGTGAAACATGCAACAGCTATGACAGAACAGATGACGGGAACAGCTGAAGAGCTACTGGTCAACCGATCCAGGTCAACAGTTAGATCCCGTACTCCTTGCGGATGGTGTTCAGGTTCAGCTTCTCGAGGGAGAGACGAGTGGCAGCACCCAGCTTCTCTAACCCCAGCAGATGACTTGCAGAAGTGATGTGGTCTGCAGCAGTCATGAAAGATTTGCCGTGCGCTTTCCCACAGCTGGCCTGGGTGCAGAGCCACTCCTCCCTGTTGCTCCCCGTCGAGATCAGAACAAAGGCCACATCCATGAGGAGAGGGGTGACAAGCGGAGAAGTGCGAAGAGAAGCAGCTGCGAGAGGCAAGCGAGATGTCAGAAGCCGAAGAAGGTAAGAAGCAACAAGAACAACCCCGACAACAGAACTGTAAGATGCTGTTACCGTTAATCCTGTGTACCCGACCCACTGTGAGACTCCACTTCCCTATGTTATTCTGACGCTCCGTGACATAGACATCATGAAACTTGTCATAGTGATGTCCGCCACAGAGCGTGCAAGATAGCAAAGGGTAGTGGGCCAGCAGCGTCGTCCCGCCGAGCAGCTGATGACGAAACTCGTGTCGCCAGCGATGCTTGTCCCCCGCGTGCGGGATCACCAAGCTCTTGATCTTATCAGTGTCAGCGCCCGTGACCGGATGCAGCACGCGGTGGAAGCAGTGACCCTCGCTGAACGCGGACCGCTTGCGAACTTTCAGCTGGTGGACAGCCATCACATCCTTGACCAGTTCCGGCGGAATGTCAGCAGGTACACCCTTAAAGTAAACTTCCAGCATCTGCGGGTTAGCCGCCTTTGTACGAACGTAAGCCGGATCTTCCTGGTGAAGCCAGAAGCAGTGAATAGTCAAGCCATTCGGTCGCTTGTGGTCCACACTCATCTGCTTGACATTGTTCGCATCTGCTTCGTGCAGGAAGGAGACCTGGAGTCTGCTGTAACGTGACTTCGCGACATATGCAGGCAACAGCTCCTGAAACTTCACTGTGGTAAGAACACCGTCAGTAAAGATATGCGACCAAACACGCTTCATCAGCATCCTGACGGTAATAATAACAGAGGCAATCTCATGAGACGGAATGACCGGGAAGAGCAGTATCGCCGTGGACCGAAGATGCGATGCCGATCCTTTCTTATGATCAATTTCCAACTCTTCGTCAGAGTCGTCCTCAATGAAGGTGTCATCAGGTACGACCGTAGCCAACGCCTTCAGCTTATCCTCAATGGATAATCCCGAGCTACCCGCAATGACTTCAGCTTCAGATGGCAGATTCTTCTCAATGTCTGACTTGCCGGTTGTCGTTTGCTTGGATGCAGCATCAGGCCCACCCAAAGTGGTTTCAGACGGCGGCACTTCGATGGCGGTCTTAGCGCGTGACCCTTTCGGCGGCATTGTGCAATGATGAACCAAAAACGGCAAAAACACAGAGCTGACGAGCTGATGAAGAGAATATGCCGGTGGTCTGAGCACAGAACTGACATATAGCCTGCCATTGCCATTGTTAGCGTAGACAGCTGACCAGTGCTCGTAACTCTGGTGTTGTGAAACCGAGGATAGAACCTCAGGATCGCGTCCATAGACGTAAACCAAACCACCAGTAATGTTAGCCCTTGGTAGTTGTTCCAGAGTGCCAGCAGAGCACCTAGAGAAGCCCGCGCAGACCTTGGGCTTAGTCGCTTGCACCAGTGAGATACTCCCTAGAGCAGTCGATATAATGTTCGCCTGATGAACATAAAAAATATATAGGCTGCTACAGAAGTTGTGACGGCAGTTTCAACATATACAGTGAGACTACACTGTACCCGAGCACAGTTGTAGGGGGAACTGACTGGGAACCATGGCCTGGCGAGAGATGGGGGAAGTGATCCTCTCGAGGCTTGACGAATCCAGCGCCCCATTTGTCGGGCTTTTACCACTGTGCATCCGTTACCGTGACAGAATTCGCCATTCGTTTTCCAGCATCGCGAAAAGGGTACGAAAACATTTCTGCGAGTAACACTCGAACTTTCTCTCATTCTGGCCTCTGGGGTGGAATTTTTTCGCAGCATTTAGAAAAACGAACATACGTCTTAGTGGACCCTCCGAAGTTACTTGTACGTCTTGGTGGATCCGAGATTTCATCATCATTCCGAGTTTCACTAGAGAAACAGATTGAACACTTGTTCCCAATAAATTGATTTTTTTAGGCTAAGTGAGCAACACCAGAGATCAGATAGCCTTCCCGTTTTCACAACCTTTCCATCCGAACAAATAACATAGCCCAAGCCTCACATAGCTGTCGGCACAAATTCAAGACCGTGCGTGACACCCGTGATTGCTGAGTCATGACGGGCGGCCAAGCGGCTAAGAATTTGAAGCTAGTTGGCAGTGCAAACGCCTGGATTTAAATTGAACAAATCATGAAGCTTTTCCCCTCACACTCCTACCATGAAATAACGGGGAGGATATAGTGGAGGAAGAAGACCTCAGAGAGGTTATGCTCAGGCTCATGTACTGGAGCCGTCTGTGGAAAGCCTGCTGGTGCTGCGCTCCTGCGCAGAACGAGTAGTGGAGCCGAATAACCAAGATGCGCGCGACGGCGAACGTGGAACGACGATAGTACCGCCGACGCCCCCCGAGAAAGCGGTGCTGGTGCGCGAAAACCCTACCGACCGCGGAAAGAAGATCCCACCACTTCCGCCCCCCGTGTCGCTGCCGCCAGAGGCGCTTCTGGCGCGCGAAAACCCCCGCGCTGCTGGCGCTGCAGGAGTCGAACCCCTCGGATCTTCCACCGCTAACGGCGGCGTCTGCTGTTGCTGGTGCCGCTGCTGCGCAGAAGACTCGCGCTGCGTGCTCTTGCTGCTTTCCCCGCTCCGCTTGAGCGTACGCTCTCCCCGCGGTTGGTGCGCCTGCTCATGCTTTTCCACCACCACATGCGGCTTGCGAAAGGTTCCGCTGCCGAACCTGTACAGTCCCCCCGTCCGCCACGTAGCATGCTGCTGTTGACCGTTGCCGCTATTCGTTTCAGCGACAGGTTTGTCGTTTTTTTGCTGCGCTGAAGCGAGTGTTTCAAGCTGTCCAAGCCACATGTCGGACTCCAGATGCGAAAGCCACAAGTCGGCGGCGTTCGTTAATATCCGCTGCCGCGACTCCAGCGAGTTACGACGAAGCTGCTGCAGAAAGGCCCGCTCGCGCTCGCTTATAGTCTCTGAATCGCTGCCATGTCCTCCCGACGTTGATTCGTGAGCGGCGGCTAGATTTTGCCGCGGATCTTCCTCGAGCCGCGTGTTTTTAGGGTCGCGCAACTCCACCGCGCTAAAGGGAATATGCGCACTCGTATCGGGCTCAATCTCCGCGGTGCGTAATGTCGGTTCCGAAACGGACACGTAAGGTGCCGTGGCTGAAGCGCTTTTAGGGTTTTCTGCTGCCATCATGACCTTTTCTTTCTCCCCGCGTCGGCTAGCGCTAGACTCGGTAGAGTTTTCTAGATCGTTACAACGGAATCGTGCTCCAGACTCGGCGGTCGCACCGTAAGAGCCGCGGACGCGTTGTTCGCGGGGGCTGATCAGCGCAAGGTGCGGAACTGCGTGACAATTCTGCTGTTCCGCGAATGGGGAAAACCCGGAGGTATACTCCCCTTCCCCAACGCTGTATGGAACTGGTCCGCTGCGGATGGTGTCGTCGCGCGAAACTTCTGAGCTCACGAGCGCCATTTGCGGAGGATAGATTGCGGAGTTTGAAACGGAAAACTAATGGAGCTGGAAGTATAGATAGTACGTAGCTCTGAAGTACATAAGTCACATGTAAGTAGAGGCAGTCGCAGTAGTAGCATCGATGGACATAACTTGATGGTTGTTGCGAGAGAAAGCTAGCTGAACCGTTTTTGGTGACTGCCACTGCTGCTGCTTGCTGCACTTGCTGTTGGTTGCCTGTTGCTGCTCTGGTTGCATTGCATTGCATTTGCTGCTGCTGCTGCTCTTGGGTTGGCTTGGAACTTGGAATCGACGCGACGCTATGGCAAGTGCTGCAATCCTTCGCTACCCCTAGGCAATCCTGTGATGCTTCTGTGCGGTCAGTCGTCTCCCACTCGTTCTCCATCCCTCGCTGTAGTGTCTGATTCGTGTTCCTCTCGCAATGAAACGGAGCCCTTGTACTGTACCACGCACCCAGTAATGGTGATGTCCAGTCATCGCCAAAAATGGGTCGGATGCGAACAAAATGTCTCTGAAGAATGAATAAGGGCGTGTCCAGCGCGTACACTTGGGATTTTACTTAATTTTCACCTATTTTGAATCACTCACAGACACAGTACCGCCAGGTACCCTTCAGGTTTCGCGTCCAAAAATGTGCGGAAAGACACAATTCGCCCCTCAGCACAAGCCGAACATCATGTTGCGCGACAGTGGCGACAGCAAAACTTTGTAACCAGAAGGGCGGCAATTCGATTCCCAGAAATATTCGCAAGATTCAGTTTCGCGAAACCCCGGATTCTCGCGATATTCGGCCTTGACTTCGTTGAGCCGTCACTGTAGCAATGTGGACGCGTGCAAGTCTGATTCTGAGGCTTGTTACGTGCGTTTCGCGTCATGTGAACGATTCGGCGCACGTGTGGGCTGTTACATAGGTGTTCGTGTCCAAAAAAGATGTAAATATGTGGTTACAATTCGAAAAAGTGGTAGCTGTAGCGCGGGGTCGCTGTGAACGTACACGCTGGACACGCCCTCAATGTCCATGTACAGTACCCATGAACTGTCAGTTGAAATTTGACCCAATCGAACAAAACAACTACGTAGAATACCAACCAAACGAAACTGCCACGAAATTAGAGGGTCGGCTACTGTACATGTATGGGAGATTTTGTGGTGGACGCCTCCACAAGAGGATGAAGCCCTTGTCTGCCCGGAGGCTGCTGTTTTCCAATTGTAAAGAAACTTGTGGCCATCAATTTGGGATCTCAGTTCCGCAGAACATTTCAGAACTGTACTCGTACATTCTTTTCAAACAGAGGCTGCTGCCGCAAAGGCTTTAGTATTACTGGTGGGGTGCAAGAACAACCAGTCGAGTGGGCTGCATGCGTGCTCGTTATTTGCGTCAAGAAATAATTATACAGGCTGCATATGCGGCTCGACCTGACAGGACATCGACTCTGTGGCTCAGATAAGTCGTGGTGATACTGTAGTCGCATGCGCTGGAAGACACTCATCAAGAGCGACCCGTTTGTCATATGGCTGAAAGTGCGCATTCATGACACCAAAGTCTTTGTGGATGGTGTGCGGACGATTTTTCCCAGTCAAGCAGAGTCCAGCACAATGACAATCAACAGTCAACTGTGCGCTATTGAGAAAAACCATCCGCACACTATTCTTTCCATAGACAAATCAGTAATACAATCACATAATCCTCTCCAACAGATATTAAGCTCCAAATACAGAGCGGATTCGGCGCATAAGTTCAGCCCTGCAAGCATCAACATCACCACAATATTAGCATCGCTATTTTGTTGCCTATGGCATCCCTTGGCTTGACACATTCACACAATATGGTTGTCACCGTATGCTACTGGAAAGTTGAATAAGACAAATAATGGACTTTGGATACTACCACGGAAAGGACCACAACTTACCTGAGCCATTGTCGCTCGTCGCGAGTGTTGCCTAGCACGCCTCGGTTCTCATGCGCTCGCCTCAGCAGGTAGGGCATTACATCCCTTACGGGACCATACGGAAGATACTTGGATGCGTTGAAGCCAGCAAATCCAAGTCCCAAGGAGAGCCCATCTGCCATCCCCTTGAGCTGTGCAAAGTGCAACCGCGGGTCCGTCCGAGCCAATCCCACGCCGCCAGCTCGCATCACTGCCACCCGGCCTGCAGGAATTGAAGGGTGGGGTGGGAGGGGGGGGGCAAGAGAAGAAAACAACGGAGGAGGAAGGAATGAGTGTGATAAGAAGAGTGATGAAAATCGTCTCAAACGAGCGAAAAGGAACTGAAAAACGAGACAGGCAGAGGGAGAGCCGTGTCAACAAGAGACACACTAGATACCTGATCCATAGTTGTGAGTTGCCAGCACCACTCCAGCAGCAGGACCACTCTCCCCCTTAGACTCCCTCTTAGCAGCTGCACCGGCAGCATCAATCATCATCCCCGCACATGCATCGTAGCACTTGTGCGTGTTCTCGATTGTCTCATGCACCGGTGACGTTGCTCCCCGCTTCTTCGCCTCGGCAGATTCTCGAACCAGATATGCTCCCCGAACGAGCTTCACCCCGAACCCAACCCCAGCCTCCTGTGCCGCGCCGAAGCTAGCGGCCAGCCTCGGTTTTGCATCCCGAAGGTAACACTGTACTGTGGAATACACCAACGGCAATTCTGCTTCAGTCTTGCTCCCCTCCTTCCCACCTCCTGTTACAGTCACAC